ATTTTGACGAACAGAGCAATGTCTATGTACGCTATGTTAACTTTATATTTACATTTAATTACTTCTTTATCATAGCGTTAGGAGAGGTACATTTCTTAATTAAAATTAAAAATTGTCAAAAAACAAATGCATTAAAGTTTAAACTTATTTAAAAACGGCTAAACACTCCAGTATATTCGTCTGGTGGCGGTAACGACTAGTTTCGAGTCCAACCGGGGGCCATTCATCAGGGTGAGTGGGACTGGTATTATTATTGAATAATTTAATAGCATTAAATTTTGTTTATACAAATAATAATCTCATTGAAATATATAAAGAATTAATTTTTTTTTTCATACTCCTGATGCTATGATAAAAGAAATTTGTGCTCTGCGATGTATTCGTAAGTCATCAGGCTAGTAGTTATTTAAGGGTAGTAAAGTCATTGGGGCATCGTATTGCTACTAACAATCTAAACCTTTAGTACATAAGTCAACTTATATAGACATGTAAAAACCCCAAAGCGCAGTTTTTCGTAATATTTATGTGCATATAATGTTCGTTGTTACATGTCTTTCTATACGTCTATTTTTGGGAATGAATATTTTAGCGAACGATATTCATAAAACAAACAACAGAATGTTCGACGAAGAATATTGCCGTGTAGTTTCTGAAAACAATTTTCGTTACTTCATAACGATTTGTAGCTTACATGTATGAGACAATCTTTAAATCTATTAGATAATATAAAGTCGCGATGTTACTAATAATCAATATTAGTACAACTGCACAATAACATGAGATTCACGAAAAACGCACCGTGCATCGTCCCCGCGCGACACGCGCACGCACGCCTTTGTGACGTCATACCACTCAGGTCTCATGTTTTGTGCACGTATTGCTTAAATACTGTTAAATGAATGCAGATGTTAATATTTTACAACTGTAATTTAGCATCTGCATCTCATTTTAGCTATAGAAAACGAATGTCGATCCGGACAACAGTTCCTGTTCGAGTAACAAGGCTAAAATACTTTACACAATGATAAATATTTTTCGCGTAAACAACTTAAATTCCATATTTTACTCCACAATGATAATAAGGAAAGAATAACGGTGCCGTATGGCCCTGTCCATATATTTAGACGTGCATTGTGAGCAGGTTACGGCGGCGTGCCTGCGATCCGGCCGCTGGAGACGCTGCACAACGCGCTGTCGTTGCGCCAGCTGGACGCGTTCCTCGAGCGCGTCACCGCCGCGCCTGTACTGGCGGGCACTCCGCCGCACCTCGCGCCCGGCACCAGTGCCCTGCCCGACACGCCCGCAGACTGCGCCTCGGATAATGCAAAGCGACACTCACCCACCAACAGTGAGTTAAAACATATACTTGCACGCTCCTCACATATACGTATTCGTATACGACATAAGCTAATGATATGATTGCCACCTATAGTGTAAAAAATATGTGTAATCGTTACCCTTCCTAAACTTACTTTTTGACCATAGACCTAACCCCATAGCTAACAAACAGTGATATTACGAGTACAAGCACATGTTCACTTGTTCGTCACGAAGTTATGTTAATTGTATCCCAACTCACCTTTAGATACGAACCAATGATTAAGGCTTGAGAGCAACTAAAACTGTATGATTGCTTCACTCAGGGTTATAGATTGATCCCTAAAGGAATCCTTCAGGATAGATTTAGTATGAGGAGTCAACATTAAGTGATATAAGTAAGGTTGTGGTTATGATTTCATACAAGGCGTGGGTTGGAGCGGGCCGTCTTCGTTGATGTCGTCGTCGGGTGAGTTGCAGAGTGTCGTGTCCTCTGCGGGGCCTTCCTCACCCACCTCCGGAAACACCGACCACGCGCGGCATCCAGACAGGTGATAATACATATAACACGTCCACAATAATATAGAGATCTACTTGTAAGGCAATCATTGACTTGTTGCTAGGTCGTATTGGTTTGTACGTATATACTTAAAATAATCTAAGATTAAGTAAAGCCGACCACACACGTTTTAACTGAACAGTCGGACTGTTCCAATAAATCATACCTCACAAGGTGTGTAGTGGGCTTAAGCTCGGTACTTTAACCTTTAATATGCAAAACATATAAAATCACGACATGCCGTCTTGCGATTTAAGTCTCATGTTATTGTGCATGGTTAGTAAATATTGGGTAGTTAAGTCATGTTTATGCATGTCTTGTTAATTAAAAAAAGATATAAAATAAAAGTTGTATAACAAAATCTCTCAGTTATCCACGGCTGAAATAAATTTAGAAATAATTATAGCTCTCGTTCTCTCTGAAAATGTTGAGATGGCTATATTTCAGTCAAAACCACGGCAACATTAAATATAAACATTGTGTTTTTGAAATATTTGAAGTTATTGCCTTTCATTGTACATATTTACATTTAGCGCTTATCATTTGGATTTCTACTAATTCTGTTTTTATGGCATTTATCATACTCATAAAATAGCAGATTCGAATACACAGTTCTATAAATGAAATCATGACTTTACAAGTAAAATACGAAATTCATGTGATTTTCCTAATTTTTTGCTTTTATTCTCATTTTTTTTTCAATTGTTGCAACGAATCTGCTATATTGTGTTGGGTTGTTTACATATATTTCATTTAACCTCACTTCAAACTGTATATACGCCGTTAGCGATGGATGACAAAATCTAAATCGTTAAAGAACGTACTTGAGCAAGTTTGGACATAAAGAAACGGTTCGAAGTGACGGTGGAAAGTAATAGTTAGTGGGGTGCATTAAAATGTTGTGGATTCCAGTAGCTATTGGAGTAGAAATGTGGCGAGCGTGGTCCCCATGCCCCAGTGGGACGGGGAGGCGGCCACGTTGTGCGCGCACGACGCCGGCCTGCGCGCGCTCGCGCCACACGCACACGCACGCGCAGGTACACGCCCCACCCCGACCCGACCACTTCACACCACCGCCTACTTATCTTACTAATGTTATAAATCCGAATGTTTGGATAGATGGACGTTTCTTTGAAGGTATCCCCAGAACTGCTGCACGGATCTAGCTGAAATTTGGCACAGATGTCATATTCTTGAAATAAAACATATGCTACTAATTATGTTTTTTTTTAATTCCGCGTGGATAAAGTTGCGGGCGACAGCTAGCTTATTTATATAGACATTTTATTACCCGCACTTCTCACTACATCTTAGAGTGAGATCTTTTATATCTACGCAATGAAATTTACCTGTCCTTTGAATACTTGCTAGTAATTTGCAAAGTTTCTACGCTGCAACGGTAATAAAATAGGCACTTGTGGCATATCACCTGAAGTTGGTCTGAGCACTGAAATTCATGATGTAAATATTCATAAATTCATTATAAAACTAACTACTATCATTTCTGTGCATGAAAATGCTCTTAGAAATGCATGATACATCATCTAGCACAATTTTTAATAGCTAGAAATTGTATTTGAACATTGATGGCGCGTGGCTTGAGGAATGTTTTCAATAAATTTCGTCATCACAATTAACAAATTAAACGTTAAGTAATAATTGCGGGACTATATATGTGAATTGAATGACTAAAATCTCGCGTTACAAAGGCACTTCAAATGTCACAATATAAACAATTTTGTAAATGTATGGTATTCCTTTAGGTTCGTATATTAGCGGCGACGTGACGCCCGTGTCGGCCGCCTCCGACCTGGAGTTCAACAGCAACGAGGCGACCGCCGGCTCCGGCACAGACCACGACCTTCTGGTGAGCATACATACGAATTTAAATTAAATATATACACACTATTGATTTTCCTTATTCGACTGTAATTCAATCTTAATAATAATTTCTGATTCGTGTACAGAGCGGAGAAGGTGAAGACGATGAAGAAACATTATCAGTAGACGCATGCTCCTCTCCAATGAGAATTATTAGGAACGATTTGACAACACTATCTCAATCTCCCGGCAGTCCTGTCAAGGCGGACGATTGTGAGCCGTCGACGAGCAACGCCTCGGATCTATACGGACTTAGTTTGCAACAAACTAAAGAAAACTTGTACAAAGATATGCCTTCGAGCAGTAAAAACTATAACAACGAATATGATGTTAAGAATAAATGTTTTAAAACGGAAAGTTCACAGCAATGGAGCAATTTGGATTCATTAAACTTGCAGAGCAAAGATAATAATAAGCCTAAAGCGAAAAAAAACGATATCTTGAATAACGGAAGTAGAAGATATAGCGATAGTAGTGCTCACAGAAGTAACGCCAGCTCTCAAGCGACGGGCGGCAGCAGGTTTAAGACAACTTTAGTGGATGAGCAGGAATTTCGCGCGAGCACCTCCGACAGTAAGTCGACTGACACGACCGAACAGACCGACACGCCCGTCGCGCCTCTAGTGACCAAAGCGAAAAACACTAGTGTCAAACCTGGCTTCAGCATCACTGACACCTAGCCTAAAAACAATTGCCCAACTTTTGTACTTTTTTCAAAATTCAACAAATAAAATCAAATTGGACAGACTGATAATTTTCCTACATTCTCTATGGTATAAGTATGAAAAGAAAATTGTAAAATTTCTTCCTATTTTCGGTACAAACTTTGCAAACTTGGAACTTTACTAGAAAATTATTTATTAAGTTGTTGTCATTGGAAAAGTTACATTAACCTTGCTATTATTTCAGATTGTGAACACCACCCTGACACCACTGATGCTTCTATTGTGTAGTGTAAATTACTATTTAATTTAAAAACGCTGTTATTGTGATCAATTATGAGTATATTAAGTATAGGTTTTATTATAAATATTAAATTTGACAAATTATATTGTGTTCTGTTATTTGATATTTACTATATGTACCCTGACCTACTCTCGGCATATGATATTTTTCATAACAGTTTTGAATTATACTTGCTGAATGCAATCTTCCGGCATGGTTAAATTCTTCAAGCCTTTCTTGACCAAACTACAATTTTTCTATTAAAAATACATTACAAATGAAATAAATAAAAGACTAGTTGTAAATAAATCCTTTTAATTCATAAAAGAAATTACGTAGCTGCTAATCAAGTTAGGCATTCTATAATAGCCTAGTGCTTCTTATCATAAACTAAGTTAAACTAAAACAGTGCACATATCAAGTAACATGAGAAAAAGTTAAAATATCGATGGCTTCTACCGGCTCCTACATAAGCTATTGTAAGTCACAATTTTGGCATGTACACATTGTTTTCTGATTTTTACTTGATAAATATTTTTTTCTTCGTAAATTTAAATGTAATGTTAAAAAAAATATAGATTTTGGTTGTATGTTTAATGTTTTGTCTTGAACAATTTGTATTTTTAGACATACTATAGTTTATGTAGGAGCCATTGATGTTTTGTACAAGTAATCCAACATTGGATCAGGTACAAACAATCCAAAACTGACAATCCCTAAAACAAAATACATAATACTGGAATGACAAAAACTAAAAATTTATTTTACTTAAACTTTAACATTGTTACATAAAACTACTTCATGTGCAACAGATAAGTTTTATAAAGAATAATCAACAAATGCATAGATTGGCGCAACAGAGGTATTGGATATTTTCATCATTTAACATATTTTTTTATTCATGCAAAAATATGACAATGTTGACAGATGAGATCAAAGGTAAAAAAAAAATGGTGGCCCCACATATTAAGCTGTATTAATATGTATTTATCACACTTCAGTATAAAACAGTCCGTGCAATTTTTAAAATATTTAACACTAAATTTGACATTGTACTTTAAACCAAATAATCCAATAAGATATTTTCTCAACTATTACATAAGTTTTAACATAATATCGATTTCACAATAATCAGTCAAACTATTTTAGACATTTAGAGACAGATTCAAAGTTTTTAAGAAATTGGTGCAACTATGCAAAAGTGCAATCCTAATTTCTTTTATAACTTTAAATTTTAATGGATAATTAAAGCTCAAACTGCATATGCTAAGCTTAAAATTAAAATGACGATGACCAGATGCATATCACATTACAAAAAGCTCACTAACAATGTGTCTGGATTATTCAGTTTTGAATGGCGATGTCCTGGGTGCTAAATGGAGCATGGATAACATGGTGTTAAAGATTCCACGGTGTTGAATGCCAGGCCACAGCAGCATCACAGTAGAAAATATATATAGTAAGAATATATTGTTGATTGCTGATGCCATCCATGCCAATGTCAGAGACACACTGATGGATATAATATAGTACTGAAAACAAAATATTTCTTATTAGATTGTGTAACACTTATGTTAATTAAAATGGGTGTGGAAATGGGTGTTGATGCTGAATTGATATTTGAGATTATTCATTTAAAAATAAAATAGTAATATGTATAATCTTACCACACAGGGACTAGTCTCTCGTAGTGAATAGAAGGTGGAGATATTTTGTAATATTTTGTTATAATAGCTAACCAAGCTTCTACAAATATCTTCAAACATTTTTTCCTTTTGCCCAGTCCAGTAACTTGGAGTGTAGATAGAATTACATATGATCGGCACGAGAAAATCAATAAAATTTATAAATAAGCCAACAATTGCCATTGTTGCTAGAAAATTAAGATCCAAAAGCCATATTACTAAATAAGTTAATGAAATAGAAGCAAAAATAGCACAGGGGTGCCATTGCTGTTCCCAAAGAAAAATAGATTTCAGTGGCAGAAGAACCATACGCCATCCCTCTAGTACTCTCTTCAGGATTTTAACTTGCTGTTCCTGCACAAAATCA